TAAACCCTAAACCCCCTAAACCGTTGTCGACCCGGGGATGGAGATCCAAGCGCCCCGCGCCTCAATCTTTGTCTTTTGGGGGAGTCGTCGGGTTCTTGAGCCGGGCCGGATTTGTGGAGTTGGGCGCTGGGATTCTACACTAGCACTTTTTTATTGGTTCGAGGATCATTGATCATTATTCTTCTTATTGTTGAATTTATTGCCGTTCTGATTAGGAAAATTATGATTACTAGCCGACGACTACCACTGAAACTACTGCTTCTTTTAATTATATCATTTGTTGTTGTGATGAATGTTATCATTATAACTGTTACCATTATTGCTATTGTTTATGGGTTCGTGGGCTTCCACATGCTGAGCCTTGAAACCGTTTAGGAGGTGGGGTTGAAGCAGGGTATAGGGTGTAGGGCTAGGCTTCCCTTTGAATAACAAGGGCCCAACGAATGTCCATGCCTGACCGAACAGAAACCTAACACGTAAAAAGTTAATCCGGCATTCTCCCGGTTATACTAAGAGGCGCCCTAGAGGCCCTAGAGTCCTAGAGTTAGACCCTGAGACATGAAAGAGTAACCGTAAGCCCAAAGCCCAAACCATTCACGGAAGCCCCTGCGGCCATCTGTGAGCGATCAAGAGCCCCCAAGATAGGGGCCCTACAGCAAAAGTATATGATCACAAGCCGTAGTGTATGCAAGCACACTACCGCACATTACAGCCTTTTACATTTTGTTGCCCGTTTCCTATCGTATGGGGGCACCTAGTAAATGCAGTTGTGCTTAAGCCTGCAACTGTGCAACCGGCTGAAAACCCTAACATCCGACGACAACCATACTGAAGGCTTTGGACTTAGGGTTCAGGTTTTTTTGCTTAGGGTCATACTCTCCGTGTCAGGCAGAAACCTGCAGCTGAACGCCATGACAAAGTCTTGATCCTGAATCTAAACTTGCATGCATACCTGGCCCAATACGGAAGTGTCTCACTTTATCCTCTTGGGGAGGCTCCTACTGACTGGAAACATTAGGAGTGTCGCTTCCCGCATTCAGTCTAGAATCAACATTACATACGGGCCGTCTAAACTGGAACATGTTTTCGGTGCACATTACAAGAGTCTAGATATTGGGACTACAAGTGGATGCTACTATTACTAGCTATGGACCCCATACCATTCGAGTTGCCAGTCTCCTTCTTCGCACCGTTTCGCGACTTGCCGCATATGGCGGAGAACGAAAGAACCTCAGGCGTACAAGCGCTTTCAAAGATGTGGGGCGGATTCATGCGTACCGGGTTTGGGCCGACACTCGCCATAATCACTACAGTGCTGGAGAGATCTTCACTAAACCTCACCAAAGCAGGACGAGGGAGCCACTGGGAAACTGGCCGCTCTGTACAGCGCATGCTGCGTCGCAACAAGAATAAAACCTGAAGCTTACGCCCGGAGCCCTAAACCTGGGAATGTCGAGAACTTTGAGCCCGGTACACAAGTCGATTAGCCCAGTTTTTAAACCCTAAGCCCAAATCCCCAACACGAAGCCCTATGAACCTCAGAAGCTAACGTCGAAAACCGACACCGTGCGAACGGCTTCGACTCTAACCCGAAGGCCTACGTCCTGAACCCAAGCCCTTAAGCCGAAACTCTTTCAGACAAACCCTAAACTACATTGAAGGCACATACCGTACATTATAACTTTATTTTGCTATAGTATGTACTGTGTATGCTATACTATATAACACCATGCCAATAACGGCATACGCTTGTATAGGGTATGTTATGGTTCATTCTTGTGCTAGCTACGCTATGTTACACTTAAACATGATATAAAAATATTGTAGTTGCAGGTATGTTGTTGTACACTATTACACTAGATCAGTATGTCATGGTAACTGGTGTCTTATTGTAGCCCCTTAACCCTAAACCCCTAAACCCCTAAACCCTAAACACTAAACCCTAAACACCTAACCCTAAACCCCAAACCCTTAACCCTTAACCCTCAACCCTCAACCCTTAACCCTCAACCCTCAACCCTTAACCCTCAACCCTTCACCCTAAACCCTAAACCCTTAACCCTTATAGTCTAAGACCACGGTTAGACTTTACGAGGCCCCGGCGTGTGGGAAAGCTGGGATCTCCAACTCCCGCCTCTTACTAGCCCTTTAGGGTTTAGTGTTTAGGTTTAGGGTGAAGTGTTTAGGTTTAGGGTTGAGGGTTTAGGGTTTAGGGTTTGGGGTTTGGGGCCTTATACGCTGGAACTTGCGGGCTTTGGGTGTAGGGTTTGGTGAAGTTTGGTGGTTACAGATTGTAGGGCCTAGAAGTATAGGGTCTTATGAGTCGTAGGGTTCAGGATTTTGCGGTTTAGGGCTTGGGGTTGCGGCAGGTTTCTTGTATGCTCCATGGGTGTGTACACAGGTTTCATTGCTGCATTGATAGGCTTTCGGTGGTTTACAGAGGGTTTTAGCCGCCGACCTCTGGGTTTCAGGAGCTGAGGCTTGAAGCTTCGAGGGGATTTGCGGGAGACTCGGGGGGGGACGTAGGGGTGACGACTGCTTGCTACCGGAGACCAAAATCCTGAATCCTGGAGACCCCAGGCCTCAAACGCTCCACGCTTTAACTTGAGTGAAGCCACGAAGCCCGACCGAAGTCTCGGCTTGATGCTGGGGGTTTGGGGAGGTGATCGTGCTTGGGGCCCTGACCTCTAGACTACACACTACTTCGAAGACTCCTGGCTCAACGAAGGCTCTTCGAAGTTCTGCCGCGTATCAGGTCAACAGCTTCTTTGCAAACCATGTCTGGAAATTCGTAAGTGCGTATATGCCGATGACCTTGTCCGTGATTACGGTAATGTCGTCCACGCCGGCACGTCCGGCCATCCTGTGCAGCAATCTGCTGCAGGCAGGCTCTTTGGGCGTTCATACGTAGGGCTCCTTACACCTGAAAAAATCTGCTTTCAGACGAATACAGCTTCGATCAAAAGTGACGTGGCTAGATTCATGTTTACAGGCCCTGACGTCCGGATTTCAGTTTGTTCGTTGAGGTTGAGAGATTTTTCGGAATTGGTGTCTCGATTCTCAAAATATATGAAACCATCGCGTGGCCCTTTTGCTTGTGTGGTGCTCTTTTGCTCTCTTGTTGACAGATCGGGGCCCAGGAGGGCTAAAAATGAGCTGTGGGGTGTGGGTATTTAGCCTGACATCCTGCAGCACAGTGTTTGTTGTCGGATTCCGTGCAAGAAGGGATTTACGATTCAGACTGTGATAAACGAATTGCCATTTGCAGGAAAAGTATTGAGTACAAACGCCATTTCCACCAGAACTACGATAACAAGCCGTAGAGCGGTTACCTCTGCTCTTACGAAATTTAGGATTCAAGGTCCTGGGCTTGGAAATCCGGGAAGCTCTTGGAATCACCACTACAAACACTTAGGGCCCCCGATGGTATTTCCAGAAGCGACCTCTACAGGGACCCTGAGTGGAACCCTAAACCCTTACCGCCTAAATCCCATCGCACCTTTAGGCAAGGCATCATGTCAATGATACCTCGATAATACCTTGATGGTACCCTAAAGAGTCCTGCCTGTACATAGTGCGTGCATCCTTTGTGCACGTTAGCTCGGCGGAGGGCGCATAGTCATAGTCTAAAGCGATGATGAGCATGCCTGAGCTTGGGGCTGTAGGGTTCTAGGGTTTGCGGTTTGGCGTTAGGGGCTGCAGAGTTGTCGTCGCCAGGGCCGGATGGCACATGGCCCTTGCTCCGCTTCACACATGCCGGCTCGGCTCAGACAGCCCAAGCGTCAATCAAGCAAACTCACAGTTCCATGAGTGTGACATCGCTTCGGGCCCCTTGGCCTGACTGGTCCAGAATTGCGATGAAAGTTAGGGTTGAGACGTTGATGAACTCGGTGCGTATCCGTGCCAACAAGCCAAGTGGGACAGAAACCGACCAAGGTGCAAGTAAGCACTGGCAAACCCCACTTCTCGACAATCTGTAAACACCTGGACACAGGGAAGCCAAGCCACAAGCCCTCGTCTCTTCTAGCCTGTGCCCGGAACAACTCAGTCCAACAAGAGCACAAAGAGGAACAGGCGAAGGAAACCTGTCAGGGCCCTTGAAAGTCATCCCACCGCCGGAATCCTCAAAGGAACGCTTACGGGAAACTTTCTTGGAACCTCTAAACCCTAAACCCTAAACCCTAGGAGTTCTTGAAGTTGAAGCCCGAAAGCAGGAAGGCGAGGCACGGATGCATCCGCCGGAGTCGCGCCAGGGCTCTAAGGGCCCATCGCCACAGCAGTGGCAAAGGCCACAGTCTCAGAGGCCCAAGGTTTGGGGTTTGGGTTTAGGGTTTAGGGTTTAGGGTTTAGGGTTTGGGGTTTGGGATTTGAGGCTTGGGCTTGAAACTTCGGAGGTCAAAAAGGATGAAGGGTGCAGACTTCGACTCAGAGTGCAGCAAGCATTTCGGTTTTGAGGCGTTCAATGGTTTCTGGGTTTAGGAAACTGGCTACACTGTGCAAGATAGGGTTGTCAATACGACGCACAACTAAACCGAATCTGCTGACAAGGCTTACTGACCAAACACTCTCCTAAGCCCTAACCCGGAAAACCCAAGCCCCCTGCCGGCCTCAGACGCTTCATCGAAAAAACCCTGGATAGCTACACCCCAAACCCTAAACCCTGAACCCTGAACCCTAGACCCCAAAGCCCGAACCCTACCTCAAAACAGCAGAGCAGGCAGAATGTTTCAGTCTGAGCGGCTGCATTTTGAGTCCCCCGCGCCCATCGTCTCCCGAGCAAAGACCGAAGGCTTCAAACGCTTAGAGCTCTCGCACCACTTTCCGTAGCCTATATATATATATATATATAGAAAGCTGAATAATTGGTAGTACTTGCTGTTGGGGGTGTCTTACACTTTCGCCGATTCTTTTGTACGACCATTATACCCCAAAACCCTATTAAAGCCACCACGGCCCCTGTATTGTGGTGTGGAGTCTGTGGATCGGTGTACGAACGATGAGTAGCATCACCATTATTACCACTCTTGGCGTTGTAGCTGTTTACAACTGTTGCCGCAGTGACGCTAGTTACTATATTCGTACTCGCTGCTATTGCACCCTAAACCCTAAACCGTAAAACCCTAAACCCTCCGAAACCCTTTAGAAAAACAAAAGTCAATTGGCTTGAGCCTCATCTGCGGAATCCATGATGGGCCAGAACAGGCCATGTCCGGCCCAGTTTAAGGTTGAGGGTTTAGGGACGAAAGAACTGTGAGTTTAGGATTGAGGGTTAAGGGCCTTGCTTGAAGATAGCCGCCTATATCCTAGGGGCTGATGCACTCATACTATGGTGAGAGCGCGCTGCTGTTGTATAGGGATAACATGGGAACCCGATCACCCAGTCTGACCATCTTCTGCCAGAAGAGATCGCCCGAGCTACCTCAACTGTCCACCTTACACCGGTTGAAGGTACGTAAGGTTTGGGCGTCTATGCAAAAAGGACTTAAACTCTAAGTCGTGAACTCGTGGCGTCAAGCTTCCTCCGCAGTCTCGTAGCCCCCAAGCCCATCTCAACCTTTGCAAACTGAAATCTTGCATGCCAGTCCTGTCCCGAACATGCTAATGCTGAGCTACTTCATAGAGCCCGAAACACTTTAATCTGGAATACCACACGAGGCGCGTCTTCTAACTGCTCGGAATGTTCTTAGGGTCAGCCTCGGAATCATCATCAACATCATTGTCTTTGTGGACCGCCATCACCAACATTATGGTTGTTGCCGACTGCAGTGACTGCTGTCGCGAAAACGGATATAATTGCTGCGGGTGTACCAGTACCTCCACCACTCGTAAATAAGAGTGATGCTGGAATTACTGAGATTACGAGTACCATCGTTGATTTATGCTGTCTAGTTTACACCTTGTCTTTTTTTGGCCATCATCAGGATTAATTACAATTACGGTCAGCACTTGGGCTATCATGGGTATGATGATGAAGGTGATGATGCTGACATCATCAGGATGATAATGGTTGAACATCGTACTATCACTCTTCTCATCGTCAGCCATAATACGGCTATATGATCATCACTCTTGCTTCATTCCGGAGACAGTCCCGTTTTCTGTGCGTGAGCGAGCGAGGATGGATCTGGCTGCTGGGGAGGACCGTGAGTCTCGCTGCTGGGATGGCTAACTTCCTCGTAGGGGGTCCGAGAACAAGTAGGAAATACCCGAACATTCGCTAACCTCAAACCCTGGATGACAAGGGACCGCTGAGTACTCAGGGCCGATCTCCAACCTCTCACTGTGCGTACTGGCTCGCTCGCTGGATGGCGCTCTTGTACAACCTTGCAGCAGTCTCGCCGGGCTGCCAGTTCCCCAGCTTTCTGCACTGATAACTGTGATGGCATACATTCCCCGCTACACAACCACCACCACTACTACGAGAGCAGCCACGAGCGTGACTGCGATGCCGACCACGACCGCGACAACAACTGCACCGACGACGGCGACGAGGAAGACTCCTCTTCCAACTACTCCTCGCATTATGGCTACCACCACAACTGCCACTACTACTACCACTACCACCACTGCTATCATCCACCCCGAAGTGCTGCTGGCTCTTCCTCCTCTTCTTGTGGGCCTGCCACGAACCTCCTGCCTGTGAGTCAGACTCTCCTCTCTCCACACAGTGCGGGCTAGCCCTACAGCCCAGACTCGAAATGCAAATACGAAATCCCGAGACCCCAAATGAACACCGAAACCCTAAACCTCTAAAACCCCTTCGGCCTGTGGCTGATCAGATCCAAGACGACCAACACGCCCATGAGCCCACCAAAGAGCATCGGGATTGGAGCTCTCCTCCAAAGGCTGACGAGTTCACGTAACTAGCAGCTAGCATAACCTACTTGCGTTGCAGGTTCTTAATTTCAAGCCTCATATAGAACCTAACAAAAGGAGGCTTTGGTTGTTCAAGGTAGGTTCATCACTTCAGGCCTTTAGAGCCAGCGGACTTCGGGGTTTGACCTCCTGGGTACACGGATTCGGCAAGCCTGATATAGAATAAGGTAGTGCGTTTTATTTCACATGTATACATCTAGCACGCCTGCCACAGGCTTCAGGGCTGTGGGGCTTGGTAAAGTGTCTTCGTCTAAGGTCTAGGCCTAGGCCTAGGGCCAGGGTTTAACATCTGAGGCTTGGGGCTCTCAGCTTCGGCGTTTGGGGCCCCGTGCTTGGACGCGGTTCGACCCACCACCTCAAGGCGAAACCACGAGCATCAAACTAACACGACAGCCCTCCCTCGAATAGAGTCAATAGATCTGCAACCCGCAAGAGCAAGGCGCAAACTCGAAGCCTGGAGCTTCGACCGATGACCCGACCCTAAACACTGAAACGACAGCCTGCTACGACTCACGAACTCCCACGAACCCACGAACAGCATCCAGACCCCAAACTGGTGTGTTTAGGGTTGTCGGTCCAGACGCACATTTTGGTGTCGTCATCCAGGGTCCTGCGCTTGGTGTGGGTGCTTGGAGCTTCGGGCTTGGAGTTGATCACGCGGTGTGCTTTAGGAATTGGGGTGTGGGGGCATCGAACTTGCGGGTAGGAAGTGTGCCGGCTCTGTTCTGATTGACCTCGAAGCCCTTCTAACTCGGCAGTCGCCCATGTCACTATGCATCGATTGCAACTAGCGATTCCGCTTCGATTTCTTACCAAGCTAAACTTACCCTGACGCCCTACAGTGCTAAACCCTAAACCGTAAAGCCCTAGAACACCAAAGCTATGGCACCCTTGACCCTGAAACCTGTGCCTAAATAAACCCCAAGCCAAAGCCCCAAGTTCAAAATCTGACCATGGGGCACCGACTGGGTCTTAGGGTTGAAGCCCCTTGAAGCTGAAGACATTCAGGTTTAGGGTTTACGGTATAGACCCTCTGAGATGCTGGCTTTTTACGAAGGAGAGTGGACCGGGAAATGTGGAAGTCTTTTCATGTTAACCCAAGGTCATCTGTCTACCGAAGCTGCAGTATCAAAGAGGAGTCGGAACCCTTACAAACGATGTTCCCGGAACAACATACTTCCTGCATAGCCATAGAACAATATCCCGCCAACCCTATTCTGGTTTTTATGACCTAAACCCTCATAGTAAGCTTTCTAGGAACCCTGGAAGAACCCTTAAAACACCCTGTTCTAATTTTCCGGCCCTGCCCCTGCGGTCGTGAACTACAAGTTGCCAAAACTGGGACCACAGGTTTACGACTTCCGACTTCGGGTCTGGGCTTTAGGGCTCAGGGCTTAGGGTTTAAGGTTTAGGGTTTATGGTTTAGCGTTTAGGGCTTAGGGTTTAGGATTTAGGGCTTAGGGTTCAGGGTTTAAGGTTTAGGGTTTAGAGTTGAGGATTTAGGGCTTAGGGTTTAGGATTTAGGGCCTAGGGTTTAGGGTTTAAGGTTTAGGGTTTAGGGTTTAGGGCGACACTTCGGCAGCCGACAGAAAAGCCGCTGGTGCTACAAAACCTCGCAAGACCCGGCGAAAGTCTAAAACCCTAAACCCTAAGCCCCTGAGCCCAACACACTATCCCCCGTAAGCCCCGAACCCCCTTACCCCGGCCCCAAGACCTTGAATTCCAAACCACGAAAGCCGAAGCTCCCAAGCCCCAAAACCCCAAACGCCCTATTGTCCCTGAGATTTTAAGTAGATTGTCGTATCATAGACTACATATAATATACTATCCCGAAACCCATCAAGCCCTTCTGACAACCCTTCGGAACAGCATGGCTAGACCAGAAAACCCAAGAGCCCGAGAGCCCCAAACACATGCGGTCATGAAGAGATAACGCTGGCATGGAGGATCCTCACCTCGCCAACAGGAGTGTGGGGCTCCGGGCTCTGCAGATTGGGGTGTCTTCTGGCTTTAATACTTGGTAAGGGAAACGAAAACGGGAAAGCGCTGACGAAACTCCTAATCTATCATCACCCTCCGCGCCATCAGCAGAAACCTGTCAGTCGCCACACGCACCTTAAGCAACACCACCAATAATAATGCTCTCCATGCAACAGATATGATTCTCTCCCCAGCCCCGCTCCCTGCGCTGGAACTCTGCAGGCTGAGATCCAGGCAGACATTCAGAGGCGGAAAATAGCCTGGGCATTGTTGGGAGTAGTGTGGAGTTGAGGGTTTAGTTATCCAGGGACTCCAGTTTAGGGCTGAATGTCTCGATGCGTTTGCCTAATGGGCTTGCTGAAGGTGTCTATCAGACTTTCACTTGGGCGGCAGACTGGCGGCCGGAGATTTCAACGCTTGACTTCAAGCCCATGTGAAGGCTTCGGGACTCGCTTCGGAATATTTCAGACACTCACTAAAACCGTGACAACGGACCCCAGGGCCCGACCCCAACAAACCCGACCCTGAGGCATCCTGTAAACCCCCCCAGACCCTACATGCCACGCCTGAAAACCCCTAAACCCTAAACCTTGAACTGCAACACCTGAAGCTAAAGGATTCCAGACTCAACATCCCTCAGTGCTCCCTTCCGGGTGACTTACGGGTTTTGGCTTTGGGTTCAGGGTGTGGCCACACCAAACCGCCACACTTGCTCTGCACTCTACACCACCCTACACGTCTTCTCATGGCGGCAATCAGGCTCTGGGTACTCTTCCAATTGGGTCCGAACTGTAGCATATGTCATCCGTGCTGAGTCTCCATACGTCTTATAGTATTAGTTTATGGGTGTGCTCAGTCGTATAGGGATCGTGTCGAAATTGTCGGGTTTTGTCGGGTTTTGTCGGGTTTTGCGGGGCCACCCTTAAACTGGGTGCAAGCAGCC